AACACGTGGCAATCCACAATGTATTCATGTACAGAGGTGGGTCGGTTAAATCACAACTTGCACGTACTAGCTTGACATGGCAGTTCCAATATTCAGTTTTATCCCACTCGAAACTTTATATATATGCTGCCACCAAATGAAATTCTATTGTCGGGTCTCTCGGCTTCTATGGCACTCTTTTATCATTAGGAGAAAACAACATCAAATCCATTGGAACACAGGCTGCCGAGCTTATTGTCTAAAGCCTAAGTGGAAAGGTCTGAAGCCACATATTACACGGGCACATGGCTGTCCGACTATGAGGACGTACATGATGAAGGTTTATCTATCCCCGAACTCTTCGATCTATTACCAAGTTTGGCCAGACATTGTGTGAATCTATGTCGGTTTCGAAAGGGCCTCTCTTACCCGTTTGAAAACATTTTTATAATTTTATTCCCGAGTATGTTTCTCTGAATTTTCACTTTCTTGGCGGTAGATATACACTCTCTGAACTATGCTGCAAAACGGAGTAGCACTAATGTTAATATACACTGGAAATAATGTAATCTGTCCGTTTGGATGGGCTGTTTAACAATACAATATGTAGTATGTAATAGGTACAAATGGCAATGTGTAGTGGATGGTTTGATGCGGGTGGTGTCCGGTGAAGAGTTAGTAGTTAGTGATGCATGCGCTGCAAATTGCAAATAACATATTATACCAAAGAAGAAGAGGATGATTACGGCTACTCAGCTCAGAACTACATTTTTAATGTACTTCAATATGATATGAGGCCGCTCTTTAATTTCATTACTTCCTATTTTTTTATTTTGTAATTCTACTGTTTACTATCACTCGAAACTACGTACTGTATAGGTAAAAGAGATGTTTAATGAGGAATGGAGAACAAAGGGTAAACATTTGATAAGTATAAGGCCTGCATTGAGTACTGAGGAGGATATGATGATGTCATCATGCCAATTTCCTCAATGAAAGCCAACATGCCACCCACACTGCAAAAAACAACGATTTTGGCACGGATTTGACACGGAGCTTTGGCACGGATTTGCCAAAATTCGTAGGGTATTTGGCAAGGATTTGGCACGGATGCGTTAAATCCGTGCCAAATTCCGTGCCAAAGTCGTTTTGTCACCAGCTATTTGGCACGGCGCTGTGCCAAAAATAAGTTATAGTCCGTGCCAAACTCGCCCAATCCATGCCAAGTCCGTGCCTATTTCGATGTTTTTTTGTAGTGAATACTCCGTATATTTTTTCACTACACACATGTATACTGGTACACATATAAAGAAACTTTTACTGGATATTTTTTCTCACAAGCTGCTCTATTTGTAAAGGTGACAACTCAGGTACCCATTCAAAAAATGGGGTATCGTACCTACCATACATTTGATTGGTCAAAATCATTATATCTTTATTCATTTAGATTTAAATAATTCAACTGTATCATTCTAATTGGTTCATGTAGACAAATGTATGGTACCTTAAGGGTGCGATAGAATCTACCATTTTTAAAACGTAATTAATTTAAGTGTCAATAGTTTGGTTCTTCTTTCTTGTGGAACAATTATTATGAGTTCACGATATATTAAATATTTAATTTTCTCATACTCCATTTTAAATTTGACTTTCCTATACAGTAAATAGATATAGCCATATAGGTCAGATTCCCCGTTTAAGGTTATCACTTTGCCGTTTTGAACGTATAACATAAATATTCTCATTTCAATTCTAAAAAATAATAACATTCTTAAATAATAATTTATTCATCAAATACTCTAATTAATGTTAGGATTATTAATGTTTTAATATTTCCATGTTAAATGACCCCACAATATTATATATCCATCAAAAACATTTCTCACAACATACTCAAATTACCTTATTTGATTATTGTTTACATAATCATGCGATTTTTATGATGTGAACCTTAAACCGGGATGAAAGTAGCATAATATTATAATTTGAAAAATAACATACATAAAATATAAAAATAATGTGTCCCGTGCATCGCACGGGTGCAATACTAGTGCTCATAAAATCAATACTAATAAAAATATGAAAAGATAAAACAAAATATAGTCATAATAAAAGATACCTATTCCAGTAATGATCAAATTCTGCAACGGTGTGACACAATTTCAGAACATGATCAAACAAATCTAAGAAGCCCTCTTGATTCCTCAAGTCACGTATATGTTTCTTTGAATTTTCAGTGATATGCCAAACACACAGACGATGTTTCGAGAGAGGAAATACTTTACAAATTGCAGCAGACATAGCAGCCGATTGATTTGTCATAACAGTTCTTGGATGGACAGAACCCATAGATTGCAAAAAATGTAGTGAAAAGCCATTCAAACGACTCAATTCTTTCATTCAATAAAAAACCACAACCAAACATGCAATTATGAGTATGAGAGTTAATGCCAACGAAGGACCACAAATCATATCATATTTGTTGGTGCGATAAGTCGTATCATGAATAACTAAATCACCAAATGCAGTATAATCTTCTCTCATTTTCTTATCTCTCCAAAAAAAGCTACAAAGAGAACCATCGAAATCAACCTCAAAAGAATAGAAAAAGTCTTCTTCATTGGCATGTCTGTTCTTAAAAATATTAATCAATGTATTTGCATCACAACCGTCAACTCATTATAAGCATCACACAAAAGAAAACCAACAGAAGGAGATCCACCCGCTTCATCTTGCAAGCAACGAAAACCATCTGCAATCTTAACTCCTTTATTTTTTAAATGTTGCAAATACTCTAACTCGCTTGAAGAAATAGCACGATGAGATCTAACATGATGAACTAAAGAATTCGGGCAAAACTGGTGATTATGAACCATATCATGCCTAACAACAATCAACTCACCTGTAGGTTTGAACTCAAAATAAACTTTTGCCTTGCAACCAGTTCGTCTTTCAACTTTTGTATATTGTTTACCTACAACACCTTTGTTTCTTTTCATACCTTGTTTCGTACAACAAAATTCCCTTCCTCTAAAACCAACACCATTACCCCTCTTTCTCAAAGTAGAATAACGAACACCAAATCCAATTCTATAAGAGTAGTCACTATATAGATCAAATGCCTCTTCTTCCGAAAAAACTGTTTTTACCCAATAAATCAGAAATGTCTGCTTCCTTAACAAATATATTTTCAGAACACACAACCTCATCAGTTTGATCTACATGAACAAAAGTAGAAGAATTTTGAACTGCAAAAAAAGAAAAGAAAAGAATTTAAAATTTGAATAGGGAAAAACCTAACAAAGTAATAAAATGTAAGAAAACACAATACTTGGTAGGATAGGAACAGATTCAGTTCTTGACAAAATTTCTTCACTTAAGGTATCAGCAGAATGCAAGTAATCTGAAGACATAAAAAATGCACAAATAACTAACAAAATCTCAAAGTAAACAACACAGACCAAACAACAACACTATGTAAATTGAAAAGATAGAAAACATTACTGCAATCAACTTCAAAAAGTTCGCCTCTCGCCTCAATATCTTCTATTAATTTGCCACTAAAAGAAATACCATTTGACAGGGGATGACAAATCAAAATCAAATTACAGATGATCAATACTCAGTAAAGCAATACAAAGCAAAATAAATCAAATATATTGAAGGTGTTTCTTGATAAATTATCTCCAGAACTAGACATAGCATCAAATCTTGGATAAAACTAAATGCTACAACAAAAAAATATGAACTAAATGAACAAAATATTATTTTGTTCCTACGATAGAAGAAAATAACCTAAACCTAAACCTGCAATTCAGAAGACAATAACCTGAACTGAATGAACAACTTCAAAAAACTAAACCTGCACAAGAATCAACGGAAGTAAATAATAAAGAGGAGCACATCCAAGAGAAGAAAACCGTAAAAGAAGAACGAAAGTAAGACAGAAGATGGAAACAAGCAAAAACAAAAATTTATCATTGCAATAACAAAATTGGAAGAAAATATAAATGAATAAAATAAAAAATAAGCAAAGAAAAGTGAACGGAAATCTTACTTCAATCGATCGATGACCAGACAGAAACCTGGGAGAGTCGCGATAGAGACGAAACAAATGAAGGAATGAAAGTTGGGAGAAGAGGACGAAACAGCCGGGGAGGACGAAGATTAGACTCAAACTTGAAATAATTTACAAAAAGGCCCGACTATACCATGCCCTAGGTACAACCGGCTGTACGATCTAATTTAGGGGTGGTTCGGTACGGTATACCAAATATTTTATCGTATACCTTTACCATACCGTAAACTTTTGGTATGCAGAAATACATACCGTTACCATACCGAAATTTCGGTATACCTTGTTTCGGCATAATACCGAAATTTCGGTATGGTAAGGTACGGTATCGGTAAATTACCATGATTTAATATAACAAATTATTATATGTCAAATGAAATAAAGAAAATCAGTGTCAATAGTGATATACTAAAATCATTAATGAAATTAATTATAAAATACCAATGAGATAACCTATTTGTGTTCTTATCAACTTTTGACAAAAAAATATTATAAATATGTATAGATATTTCAACACATGCTATATGAAGATAACAACACATTCTGCTAACATAATTTAAACAACATAAATATAATTAAAATAACACCGATCTCCACACAAAAAGTATAAATAATTCAAGAAACATGGATATAAAGTCATTTATCCTTGAATTAGTATTGTGTTTCTAGTTATTTTTACAATTGTAAGGAAATTATTGACCTGGAATTACGGTATGACGGTATACCAGTATACCGTTTATTTCCAAAATATATACCGATACCATACCGAAGTAATTCGATACGGTATTATACTTTACCAAAAGTGTCGGTATACCAAACATTTCGATAAATTCGATATTTTTCGATATGTAAGTCCGGTATACCGAAATTTGGGTATGTTTTCCACCCCTAGTCTAATTTGCAGGTGAATACGGAGTATTAAAATAACAAGTTTAATTCGAGAGCATTTCAGTTACATCTTCAGCCAGCAACCACGACGAAACATTTGGGTTCAACCGGGGAGTTATTGCAGTTTCATCACTGGAGTAATTTTTTGCATGAAACATTTTTTCCTAGCAAATGAAGAAGAAGAAGAATACAGATGAAAGGGCGAGCTTAAGGTGGAGCTCATGATTATTCCAGTACCCCGAAAAATTAAAAGATGTTGATGCTCTCGCGTCCCAGGGGAGACATTAATGCAGGCATAAACAAGCCTACTCCGTCGTCTCGAGCGTTGTGGAGGTAGGCTTTTTCTTTTTTATTCTTCTCGTACATTTATAACAGGTCTGATCATTTACTGCAAAAAAAAAAAAAAATAACAGGTCTGATCATATCATTTTTTATTTTCCCACTGCAAAGTCTGCTCATTTTTCTTTCCGAGAAAAGACAATTTTTTTTCTCTATGTATATATATATGTATATATGTATGCATCCATACAAAATCACCATCCACAGAAACTCCACGTTTCATGAACTTGCTCTAGTTACTTGATGACATTTGGGGGAATTTTGCCTTTTGTGATCCTTTCTACCTACTAAGTGTCTAAGTGTTTCAGAACTTGTTGCAATTTGGGAATTTTCGCTATCTTATGTAATATTAAGCAAGTTTTCAAAGCAAAACATACCTTTGTTTTATCAAATACTCTGAAACCTCTGTGGTTTTGGTGAACAAAAAAATGGAAAGAGCTGTTCGTAGGCCTGCAACAGACCTCTCTGATATAGTGCTCTCATGGTCTCTTGAAGACATTCTTGATGAGAATCTTTATAAACACCAGGTCTCTCTTCTTTTCCAACACAAATGCGCAATGCACTGACAGTTAATGATCTATGAGCTTATGCACAGTTTCTTATATCTTTAGATCTTCTTCAATGTACTTGTTTTTTGTGTGATTATCAACTGATGATATACTGTTAGTATCCAATGCTGTCTCGTCATTGGATCTCTAGATGTTCTTCTTCCTGACTTTATTGAACTTTGTTTTTTCTTTTACTCTTTTCTTCTGCTAGGTTGAGAAGATTCCATACACATTCTCCTCATGGGACCATTACCTGTGTTGTTATACATTTCCCTTATTTGAAGAAACTCGGGCAAATGTCCACTCTTCTATGAACGAATTGGACAAGGCTCCATCTGCTGAAGTGATAGCTTTTGAAAAGGCTGGACTTGAGGATGACCACTTTGAAGTGACGAATGAACCTCAAGAAGTTCTTTATTATAATGTCAAGGTTGAATTTTGCAAGAAAAGAGGAAGTGATGATGGAGCGCATTACAGAACATATCCTGGAGATTTAGTAGTCATCTCAAACAAAAAACCGGAAACAGTTTTTGATTTGAATCGTATTGGCTGGAATTGGACACTTGCTTCTGTTGTTAAGGTCACTGGTGAGAAGAACAAAGATGGCAGTTTGTCCACAATCTTGAAAGTCAAAATGCCTATAAATCCTGGAACAACAATTGGAACCCTTGAAAAAATTCATATTGTTTTCTTAACAAACATTGCAACAAGTCAAAGGATTTGGGATGCATTGGGAATGAACAAGAATTTGAACAGTTTTGAAACCATTTTGTACAAAAGCTCTCAGGTAGCTGGTTTACACATTATTCTTCCAATTCATATTGTTTCAAAAGTGTCTCTTCTCACTCATACTTCAACATCCTACTGATCCTTTTTATTTTTTCATGATTTTGATTAATCTTTCTTATGATATTAATGAATAGGCTGAAAAGGAATGCTTTGCCTGCTCTCTCGATGCTGACATTAGATCATCATCAACTGAGAAGATAGAGGACATCTTGCTGTCCAAGCTGAATGAGTCACAAGCCAATGCTGTAGTTACTTGTCTTGGAAGGGTGAAATGTGACCAAATGTCTCATGTTGATCTTATATGGGGCCCCCCTGGTACTGGGAAGACAAGTACTGTTAGTATACTCTTGTTTATGCTCTTGAAAAGGAAGTGCAGAACACTTATTTGTGCACCTACAGATGTGGCAATAACCGAAGTTGCCTCTCGAGTGGTAAAGCTGATAAAAGAGTCGTTTGAAGATGGGTGTTCCAAGAAGAATATGCTATATAATCAGTTGGGTGATGTGCTCTTAGTGGGAAGCAATGATAGCTTGAAGTTGGGCGAAGACACTGAAGGGATATTCCTAAACCATCGTGTCGAAAGACTTGTTCAGTGTTTGGGACCTGAAAAGGGTTGGCAATGTTGCATTCATTCCACAATTTGTTTTCTTAAAGAATCTATTTCATGGTATGAAATCTTCACAAAAAATAATTTAAACAAAAATATAGAGTTGATGGAAAAAGGTGAAACCGTAAAGGAAGTTGCAGGAGCTATAAAGTCTTTTCCAAAATTTATTAAACCAAGGTTTGAAGAAGCAGTATCACCACTCAGAAGATGCATGTTAACAATGTGTACTCATATACCAAGGACTTTCATCCAAGAACACAATTTCCAATCTATCATTTCCCTGTTTTGCCTTCTAGATGCTCTTGAAGACACTATATATGAGAAGAATACGACGCCTGATGAACTGAAGGGAAAATTTCCACAGTCTGTAATTTCTGCAGTTTCCTCTGAGTCATTTGTAGATGCACCTTTTGCCTGCTTGAGCAAGCAGTGCCTCATCGTTCTGGAAAACCTTCTGCATTCTTTTGGTGAACTTCGTCTTCCAAGTGGAAAACATAGAGAAACCATAGTGGAGTTCTGCTTCAGGTTTTCATCCTTGGTTTTCTGCACCTCCTCAAGTTCTTATGAGATGCATTTAATGGATACGGCACCATTCAAGTTATTGGTAATTGATGAAGCTGCTCAGTTGATGGAATGTGAATCACTTATACCACTTCAACTTCGAGGCCTGAAGCACGCAATTCTTGTAGGTGATGAGTTTCAATTGCCGGCGACTGTCCATAGCAAAGTGAGAATTCCATTAATTTAAGTTTTAGTATCTTGCATCTAATAACTCATAGCAACTTCATCAACCCTAATAGCAAGTATAACTGTTAATAGGTGTCAAATGAAGCTGGTTTGGGAAGAAGCTTATTTGAAAGGCTAAGTGCATTGGGTCATTCAAAGCACATGCTTAAGGTGCAGTACAGAATGCATCCTTCAATAAGCCACTTCCCTAATTTGAGTTTCTATAACAAGCAAGTTATGTACGCTCCATATGAGAGTAGCAAACCCCATGAGAGGCATTATCTTCTGGGAAGGATGTACGGCCCATATTCTTTTATAAGTGTCCCCCCTGGAAATGAAGAATTTGATGGTTTTGACGATACCAGAAGAAATATGGTTGAGGTGGCTATAGCAGTTGAAATAGTGCAGAAGTTGTTCAAATGTGAGTCGAAACTCTAAACTGTGCTTTTGATTGCTCACTTTATTTTTTCTTGAACGCCCATTGCTATACTTGTATTGTGATCTCACTAACCTTTGAAAATATATACTTGTTCTTTTCACGTTTGCTATTGTATCCAATGGTGCCATTGTATCCCAACTCTCCAGTATTGTATCCCAAAGAAATTCCAACTTTCTCACTTACCAAAAGAAATCTTGCGTTCATATTTGTTAGCTTATACAAAGTGATGAACCTCGTGCAAGCAAAATGTTTCTTCTATTGTTTTGTATCCATTGCACTGGTTAATAGGGATGTAGCGAATTGTTTGAGTTCACATGTTCTAACAAGTTATTTTATTTTGAAACCTTATTTCGCAAGATTGGCGTAACACGGGAGATAAGCTTAGCATTGGTGTTGTTTCCCCCTTTACTGCTCAAGTTGCTGCTATAAAAGATAACATTGGCAGAAAGTATGACAATCTTAATGGCTTTGCGATTAAGGTTAAGTCTATTGATGGCTTCCAAGGTGGAGAAGAGGACATCATAATATTATCAACTGTGAGATCCAATTGTACTGGCACAGTCGGTATTATGTCTAGTTTGCAAAGAACTAATGTTGCTCTGACCAGAGCCCGGTATGTGTATTATTCTTATCTTTTCATTTCTGAAAGTTAAAGCCTAAGGTGTGTTTAACCCATTTCTTTAAGGCACTGTTTATGGATATTGGGTGATGAGAGGACCCTAATGGATAGCAATTCCGTTTGGGAAAGATTAGTCCTGGACGCAAAGGAGCGCCAATGCTTATTCTCTGCTGCCGAAGATGATGATCTGTATAATATCTTATTCAAAAATCAAAGAGGGAAGGTAAAATGATCAATGGAGTTTTTTTTATCATATTTCTATTAGTTGGCTTAATAGCCTTTGCTTATATGATATATTGAAGTGGAATGCAGCACACTTTAACATTATATTCTCTTTTTATGTTTTGTCATTTTACAGCGGTTACTTATCTGATGTTACAAATGTATTTGATGGAAGTGCTAGCTTTTACTTAGTCCCGGAAGAATTTGGAGTTGGCTCACATGCATCAACATATCAAATCGGAGCTAAAAAGATGAAAAAGATGAAAAGAATAAAATGATAAGATAAAAGAAAGACAAAAAGATTAAACAGATAAGATAATATGAATAAAATAGAATGGATAAAATAAAAAGATGAAGAACGTAAGAAAGATAAAAAAAACATAAAGTAATAAAAAAACGGAGAGATCAATTTTAATAAGACCACATTTTTACGCTGATGTTCATCATTCACGCACTTTGATTTGTAAAATTCAGATCTTGTTTGTCAGGATAATGATGTCATTGAGAAGAGTAGGAATTCTGAAAGCGTGGGTTGCATCACGGGGCCAGTTTGGTGTATCCCCGACCAATCTGCTTGTGATCCCAATCAAGCTGTGTTTGAGATAGAGACAGGAACAAAGCTTTGTGTTAGCAATCTTGATTGTAAAGTCTCTGGAGAAGACATTAAGCTTCTGTTTTCACAATTTGGTGATATAAAACGTTATACAATCCATTATGATAGTACTGATGAGGGAGCAGTGGGAACAGCCGAACTTATTTACTCTCGCCGACAAGATGCTTTAGCAGCTTGTGAATGGTATAACAACACTAGGCTTGATGCAAAACCAATGAAGATGGAGTTTGCTGCCACAAACAAGGTCACTCACCTTCCTCCTATTAGTAACTGTGCCCGCGAAGCCCCCCTTAGGCGGAAAGGGAAAAAAAGAGTGCGTGGGAGAGGACGAAGTGGTGGTGGAAAGGTGCTTTCTGCAGAAGATCTTGATGCTGATTTAGATAGGTACCATAATGAAGCAAAGCAACAGAGAATTTGATGGAGTTTCCTCTTAGTGTAGGGTGTCATTCTTTGGTGAAGGCAGCTTGGTCCCTGATACTTTGTTTTGTTGGTGTGTGTAGTATGCTTACATTTACCGTGCATCAAATTTGAGGTGGATTTTATATCAAAGGTGGGATATCAAAGGTGTGATCCATGATTCATAATGCTACCAGGTAATTGTTAGTTTTTTTTTCGGAGGAAATGTAAATTTTATTAGCACCCAAGAAAAAATAACATACTCCGTAGTACAATGTGTTGAAAAAACAAACCCATCAGAATCTATCTAATCTAGTCAAGACTCACCTAAATTAATAAAATCACAAATAAGTCCTTGCACGGGACATGCCTCGGCTAAGTTCAAACCAGTCCAGCAAACAACAACATAAAAAACAAAGCATCCTAACTATCTTCTATCAATTTGAAACGGAACCACCTCTTTTCCGTTATCTTCCTCTTCTTTATCTTCAAAAATCTCATTTGCTCCTATTATCTAATTAAAGGGTCCAATGGTGGAACTGTAGTTTTCTACACATGTTTTAACTACAAAGTTTCTGTTTACTTTTGGTTTTATATTCAGTCTTTAAAATAAAGACGTGTGAGTGGTGACTGGTGATATTGTAGAGTAAATTTCTACACTGCCGTAAGAAATGTATTACTATCTCCGTCCCAAATTGATTAGCAAATTTGACTTTTCTTGATCAAACAATTTCATTTTATTTGCTTAATTATGATGTCAATTTTTATTTATATTATAATTTGGAGTTTGTAACTTTGAAGAGATTTTAATATAGTTTCTGAATATGTAAATTTTAATTATTAAAATTGTGTTAATTATCGATAGGGAGGATTGACTTTTATTGTTGATTGACCAAAAATTGTTGACTTTGCAAAACAATTTGGAATGAAGGGAGAAGTTATAAATTACAATGAATTTTTGGCCCTAAACACTATTTTTCATACGGGAGTAAAATGTTAAGTACTAGAAAAAATTGTACTCGTATTAGATAGAGGAATTGCCCAATATAAGTAAACATAAACATAATTGCACAAATAGGAGTGAAACTTAAAACTTCCTTCAATAGGAGTAAACATTAATTTTGTACCCTTAATACCCCTAACCTAGTTAATTCTAAAATATGACTTATTTGATCCTAATAAAATATAAAAAAAAATCTAAAATATTTGAAAATATATATTGAAATACTTTAAAAATAAATAAAAAATATATAAACCACATTAAAAAAATATAAAAAAAAATATGCAGGCCTTTGCCGCAACCTCGGCCATCACTCGGCAATGTCACCTCCGATCGGCGAAAAAAATGGCATTTTATGTTAAAACTTCCATTTTTCTTTTAAAATGCCATAAAGATGACAGTTTTGTTCTTTGAAAATGCCAAATTTTCTCAAAATCTGCCATCATGATGGCATTTCGGAAAAATGTTGGCATTTTTTTTTTGTCGTCGGAGCTGGTGGTGCTGGGAGGTTGTTGAGGCGGCGGCAGACGCCTACATTTTTTTTAAATTTTTTATTTTTAAATTTTATTTTTTTAGTTTTTTATTTAATATTTTTTATTTAATAATTTTTATTTTTATTAATTTTATTTAATACGAAGAATGTTTTATTTGATATATTTTTGTGTTTTTCATTATTTTTACAATTTTATTATAAATTAATGTTATTCCTTTAATGTTTTAATTATTAATGAAAGTTGTTGTGGCTTGGGTATGGATATATTTGTCTAAACACTAAAGTTACTCCTATTCAAAACATAATACTCTTATTTTTGCATTTTGCCTATCTTTTACTCCTATTTGGGAAATTTTCTCTATTAGATAATGTATAGAATACCGGAGTAAGCATTATAGTTTTCTTTGAATAAATAAAATTATAAGATATTCCGAAATAATAAATATTATCACCCTCATGGGCCTCATTAGAAAACTCGAGGCCCTAATATTGTTTATGACAATTTTACTTTTTATGTCCACATAGAACTTCTCGTTTTCAGAAGGGGATTCTAATCACAGCAACTGATTTGCTAAATACAGCCACAAATTTTCTATAATTCCTATTATATCCTTTTTAATACAGGCCGTATGCTATCTAAAGAACTGGTTGTCACAGCCCCCATCAAATCCTCACGGCTCACATATGGGAAGAAGAATCTCAAAAGGCATTAAAATGAACAATTGTGAGGATTTATAGAAGTGGGTTGCTGTGATGCCTTTTTGGTTAAAAGAATTTTATTTCAGATATTTAATAAAGCACAGAAGTAGATTCTGTTGCCTGCAATTGCATACCGACTGAGTTACACATTTGGAGACTGTGTCGCCGGCAAATACATAAAATCACAGTTTCCATTGACGACAATCGTTGTGCGTGAGTGTGTGTATATTTTTTCACCCCAACAGATACCTTAGCTGCTCGATCAATTGCTCGGTTCTCACAAGTTCGTTTTCTAGGATTTTTTCAAGAATTCAAACAACCTCTTAGCCCCTTCGTAACAGATCCGTTGATGGTCTCCTCCTCTTCCGATCCATCCAGATTGTCAAGCTGTGTTTCTCCTTTAGTTCAACGATGGTTAATAGTTTGCAAGGGCAATTTAGATATTTCAATCATTTGGTGGCTGCAAATATCAATTTAGGGGCTGTCAATAGAATTACCCTTTCAGAATGTCTCTAAATAAAGTCATTTTCTCTTATTTGTAGCACTAATCTCATTTGATTGCAAATATGATAGAGGTAATGTTTGGGGAAATAAGGATATAGAACATTGTACACACTTTTATACCCGTCTTCTACCCGGTACCCACTATGTCTGTGAAGAGCTATTTTTTTGTCTGTGAATCCAATTCATAGACAAAATAATTTGAACAGACATATTTTGTTTGTGGCCGGAATTCACAAACAAAAAAACCTTGCACAAACATGGTGGGTATAAAAGTGGGTATAAAGGTGGGTACAAACAGTTTTATTGATAAAGATAATTCTAAATGCAGCCCCAATTTTACTTAATTCAACCACAATTATTAAATATTTTTAATTTAACCTTTTACAGCCCACTCCGATCGCAAAAAAAAAATTATTTGCACTTTATGCAGCCACCACTAAATACCGACTGCCACCACAGTTTTTAGATACTTAAAAAAAGCACTTCTCAGTTTTTGGCTTAAAAAGCACTTATTTATCGAACTCTACCAATTTTTACTTTTTTTCGGCTTGCGTGTGAAAAGTGTTTTTCCCTTTTCTGGGCTAGTGAAAAAGTTTCTTTAATCAACAATGTTTGATATACCCACTCTTATACCCACCTTATACCCACCATGTTTGTGAATGTTTTTTTGTCTGTGAACCGGGGTTCACAGACAAAAAAAAATATTTCATAACATAGGTAGGTACAAAAGTGGGTATAAGAGTGGGTACAAAGATCATTTTTATTTTTTTATATATATGGCTATTAGCCAAGTATGATTAAAAATAGCCCTAAATATTACAGAGTACAATAGAATTATTTTATTCATGGAAAGGGGCTTAGATTGATATCACCGCACTTAGATAGGCGTTAAAACAACAAAAGAATCACATGCAACCATCAGCCCTTGAACCAGACTCAAAGTTAATCACCTTTGACAAAACAATATGAGCCCAATTGTTAACACTAAAATTGGCTGAATCGGTTCATTCTGCTGAATTGGTTGTATTGACTGATTTTGCTGATTCATGAAAAAAATTGTTATTAATAAATAAAATAAAAAATTATATGAAAAACTAGCTAAAATGATCCTCTATAGTAACTTCAGCTAATACAGCCGGAAAAGTAACTTCAACCTTACTTTTTCTGCTTATAATATAATTCAACGCGCGAAATCAAAAGTCACGTGTTCGGTGAAAAACTTGATGATAAGCCTGCTAAGCCGAAAAGAGGAGTTACCAAATGGGCTCTATAACTCGTTGATCCTAAATTAGACATGACTGAGCCAAAAATGGTTACCGCATACCTCTCACCACTCAATCCTAATGTAAGAGTCTTACAACATAAAACTAAATGGAAATAAAAACAACACTCTGAACGTGGAAATTAAAAAACAAAAATGCAAAAAAAAAATAAACACCATAATTAGTCCTCCTGAGCAAAATCACCAGTCGCACATCCGGCGGGTCTAGAAGTCCGAACCCGCCTCCTCCCCGTTTTTTGGTTTGCCTAATGACATGTTATCGCCTGTTGGTTCCTCTTGTGATTGCTCTTCCCATATCCTTCTGCGCTTTTGATCCCCCGACACCTCCTTAGTGCTGCCCATATCTCCTTCTTTGGTCACATTATTACCTGTACCCGTTGTGGACTCACGTCATCCCTGACTCCCTGTTCCTTCACCTTCCTGATCCGCTTTCCTCTGTTGCCTTGCGCCTCCCGAGCTTGACAAAATTTCCACCAACCACTTATTGCCCCGTTTTGGACTAGTCTTCCCCCCTCCACCAGCCCGAAGTTCTACCCCAAAGGTTTTTTCCAATACTATGTCTTCCTAATATGTTAAGGGACAAAACTTGTCAAAATGCCCAATCACCCCATAAGTAAAACAAAAATTGGGGAGTTTTTCATATTTGAAATCTACCTAATGCCCAATCCCTTCCTTCTTGAGGGTAGATCCCTTTTTAGAGGTTTGCCAACATCCATGCTCACCATAATCCTCATATACGATTCCCATCGTTCTTCAAACTGGCTCTCATCAAAACTAATAAACTTACCAATATAGTTTCCAATCCTCCTAGCAGTACCTAGATTCATGAAACTATATGACACATTATGAACCTGTACCCAAACTCCACCTCAAACATTTTCATTTTATGGGGTATATCATCTGGCCTAACTTCCTTAAGAAGCAACAAATTTCTTTCAAACAACCAAGGATCATCCTCCAGAACACGATTCATATCCACAACATGGTAAAATGTAAATAGATATCTTTCATAGCATTTTCTTTGATGGATATCCCTTTTCCCGGACGTCAAATTGAAGCCAACATATCATTGAAAACTTGAAATTTGATTTTCCGATCAGTGAGGACGACTCCGACCGCCGGGAATACCTCCTTCCCCTTGGCAGCACCGACCTCTTCGCCTTCTTCATTGTCGTAATTCAGTTCATTAACCTCTCCTCCAATAGCCATTTGCCTGTATTGGTGCACAATATCATCCATCCGATCTCCCTTAGATTGCTCGAAAACCTTTCACCCTGCCGGTCGACTCTATCGATGCAGTGAAGCCTCAAACGTGCCAACTAGATCCCGCAGCACACTGGTCTGGCTAACCAGCCTCGGAAATTCCGCCTAGAATCGGCAGTTGTTCTTCATCTACGACGAAAACAGAGAAAAACGAATCTAGCGGCAAAGCCTAAAAAGAGATAATCTTTCGTGTATATCTGTTTATTTATTATGTGTACTAGAAAGTCTTTTAATAATGTGACATTTGGCACAATTTATCTAGACTATAAATGCTTCCATTGCGGATGCTATTAGTCTTATTAAAATAGAGACATGGGGTCTTACATATTATAGCTGCAAAATGAAAATAATACTAATTTGCAAAACCATTTTTTCAATAGTAGTCTTGCTTTAAACAATATATTCATGTTAGTACAATACAAAATTTTATTCTATAGTTCACTCACAATAAACACATTATCCTTCAAGTTAATAAAATTAGTTATATTTACTGGTTACTAAAGAAAAATATTTGCCAACATACATCTCAATGCAATGATTTTACAAGTTCTTTAAACATTAACAATAACAAAAAACATCTCAAATTCGCTAAAAGCATATAAATATAGATATGTTAGTGTAATCTATTAAAAAAAACTACAAAACAAATCGACATTTTATTCAAGTGTAGCAACTAGCAACTAATAAATGATCTCAAGATCATGAAATGAATGAAAACAGAAACAAATAGTTGATGGATATTTAATATTTAGAAGATTAAAACGGAAGGCTTGAACACTACTATTAGCGAAAGAGAATGAGGGAGATGCGTTTTATCAAATTGTCATTCTATTTCATTTTTTAAATGAAAAATTGACAACAATAATCTTACTTTTGACTAGTCTATTCATAATAATCTCACTTTTGCGTACGTAATCTAAGAATAATATCACATTTGCAACTCATCTTCTCTCATTACTATACCAGATTTGTTGTCCTTTAATTTCTTTGAAAATCTTACATAAATAATCTCATCCTTCACCAATATGCTCAAAACAGTCCCATGTTTTATTTTTTATTTTTTCGCCCAAAAAATTGTCTCTCTTTATTTTTATCCCTAGACACTTTTTAAATCCTTTTTTCATCCTTTTGTTTTTATTTCTTTTCCATATTTACTATTTTAATTCTCACTCTATTATAAGAGTTTTTTTGTAAAATTTCTTTTCAGGCAGATTTTTTTCATTTTTTATTCCCGTATTTTTATTTCATATTCTTTTTCATGTGTTTCTTTGTTAATCATTCTCTTTTTATTAACGATCTTTTCTCACTTTATTTTTGGTTATATTTACTTTTTATTTTCAATTTCCCCTTTTCTTCTTGTTACTTTGTTGTGTTTCTTCTTCTTCTTTCCTTTTTTCTTGTTACCTTAATTCCACCATCAATATATATTTTTCTACTTTTCTGCATCATCGTATTTTTCTAAGTTCCCTCATAAATTTCATCAACTATTAGAAACAATCCTTGTGATAAAAAGATTAGGGAAAAACAAAATTTAAAGAAAAATAAAACAATCCGGGAAATATTGTAAGAAAGAAAAAAATACAAATACTCTTTACACGAGAAGGATAGAGGTGAGAAACATTATCTGAAAAGGGGAATAAATAAGAAAAACCTAGATCAAGAAATCGTCAATATTCACTAACATGTAGTCAAAATCAAATGAAAATGGAAGAGTTGAAAAGGGACAAATAAAAAAACAAATACTTTCTATGTAGGTCAAAAGGAAAAAAAGAAGGAAAGGAGAATTTTAATAATAATAATAATAATAACGAGTAATGTGGTATAATAGCCTTTAAATGGTAATTAACTAAATAGTAATACATTTATTTTATCGTAAGGCGCTTATATCATTAAAATAGCATTCAGCAGGGGTACATGAACGTGAAAAAACCGCATGTAACCATCCGCCCTTGGCCGAGACTCTGAGTTAATCACCTTTGACAAAGCAATATAACTCGCTAGACCTAACTTGGGCAAATTAAAGCTAACGATGATTACCGTAAACCTCTCAACCCCCAAATCTAATGCAAGAGTCTGACCGTGGAGTAAAACGAAAATAAATAAAATAAACTGACATGACAACATCATCCTCGGCGGTGGCTCAGGAGGGGGACGGATCATCAACCCTTCATCTTGAAACATTCCTTGCAGATTCACCACCACAATTTCCACCGGTATCTTCTTAATCCCTATGATTATAGCCCGAATGAACCCGGAATCCATGCTTACCTTCCCAATCGAAACCTGTGGCACAAGCGAGGAGTCCATAACCCAAGCAAAATCACGATCCAAAATCACCTTGTCGCTCTGCCCCAACCGAAACCGAAACAAAAATCAGCACCAAACTTTCACCCCGACCAAACCGCAGAGTCGCAGTTAGTCACCTGAAACCTTCGATGCTTGAAGACGAAGCAAGAAGAAGACAAAACCCTATAGCCAAACTTCGATTGTAGAAATCGAATTCGGAAAAACTACCTAGCGGCGCTGCCCTAAAAAAATAGATTTAAAGTTATTCGTGGGAAAGTTACAAACTACAAACACACACCTGCACCCCGAATAGTAATACATAAAAAGGGGAAGAAGTAAAAATGGGGAACAAGAATAAGAATGAAAAAAACTGTTGAGAAAAAAAAAAGCAAAAACATAAACAGATTGAATAAATGAAATAATAAGATGAAAAAAAAGTGAAATGCGGGGCTGTCTTGAGCAGATTTGTGAAAGGTGAGGTTATGTATGGAAGATTTTCATAGAAAGAACAAAAAACCTTGTATAGTGTCATCAACCGGCGGTTAGGGTCCAATGGGAGAAGATGAAATGCAAATATAGAATTATTCTGGGATTACGTAAAGGTAGAATTATTATGAGCAATCCGATCAAAGATGAGATTACTGTTGTCTTTTTTCCCTTTTGAAATTTACCCAAGTTAATTTTAGTTGGTAATTGAGAGAGCTCGTTATAAGTTATGAATAAAAATAAAGAAGATACATCATACATGTTGGTTAGTCATATACTCCATATATACTTCGTGTTAGTCAATATAGTTCTTATCAACTTTTATCATATTCATATTCAATATTTATATTTCATTATAGCTTTTAGTGCATTTTAAATATATAGCCGCATAAATTTTAATTATCAATACTAAATTATTTACTAAGTCATGCGAATTATTTTGATTAAACCTTGTAAATCATAATAACCCCTGCGGAATGATGGGAATCACGAAACCGAAATAAAACTAGTTGTTACCCCGTATCGGGTAAGGTTATGTTCAATTTACGATGTTTGACAAGACATAAAGTTAATTGTTCTCCGTTATTAATAAAATTAATTTTATTAAATAAAATTTATATATTCAGAAATTACATTTAAAATTTGTAGCCGTAAAAAATCAAGTTTAATAAATTTTGGATATACTATATGTCAGGAAAAAAAGTAAGAACAATTTATGTTAACCACGTAATGATGAACGAGAACTTTATATGGCACTAAGGTATTTTAAAGTATATTTCTAAGATATAATATAATGCCTAATATATGACACAAACACATAGTTGATAAAAATGTGATTAAAAAATTTCCAGTAACTATGATTACCTTAAAATTTCACATTCTATTGTCATTTTTTAATGTGCGGCATAAGTCATAGTTTTTAGAATGAATTTTTGATAGAATATGAACGCTTCAAACTTTCCCATTGTTTGTCATTAGGGATGAAATATTATAAAAGAATCGGGAATTCATTATGAAGGGGGAGACATGAGATGATTGTTGTTTCTCGCGATGTGGGTAACGTCGATAACAATGACCATGTTGGTATAAATTTGGGAGTTATCTTACCAAAATGATAAGTAAATCAAAACTTTGCATCTTAGCCACTTACATGAGATGTCCTAAATGAATGGCAGAGACCGCAGAGTACAACACATTTGGCTATAAATAACAATTAACAATTTGTTTTTCCAATTAAATTAAAGTAACTTTAATATTCGGTTTTACTACAAACTATATTAATATTTTATACTCCGTAACATGTTAGTTAATATCCTTAAAACATTATGTTATAATAATATCGTATTACTGTATACAGAGAGTATGTAAAAAAACCTCTGTCATTTAAAATTAAAAATGAATAGTAAATTTATTACAGAAATTAAAACGAAAGAAGTATCCTAGGGGCATCCACATCCATAGATTATTTTTGAGAACATTTTGATGATGTAGAAGATTTTTTTTGGGGATCATGGATGATAAGTTGAGATTATTTTCTGAGATTATTTGATAAAATAATCTGGTATCAAATTCTAAAGCTAGATTATGTTGAGATAATTTCCAACTTCCAGGCATATACTCATAATTATGGTGATGACTAGCTTTGTAGTTCGTGCATGCTCATGCTCCTATCCAAGGTAAATTAAGATCATGAATGAGAAGAAATTTATTGGTTTGGAGATTATTTGAGAATATCTTATGTAGAGGTGACATAACAATAATAAGTCATGAAAAACTGTAAAGTTGAAGATGGGATGCTCTAAAACAAATACTACTAGTAATCTTTTTTAAAAAATGTGTTTGTCACTTTGTTGAGGTTAATGTAAAAAAAACATTAATTAATGTTGGGGTTAAAGCTTACTAGCAAGCTCACACTGTAGTCTCGAGCTGCGTGGAGGTCAGTTTTCATCATTAGGAATGGGAAACGATCATTTCCACTGACCCATTTCTCATCCTCCTTCATCTTCACCGACCCATTTCTCATACACTATTTCCAACATTTTACATCCCTGTACCAATTGTTAGTCCAGTGGCTTATGTTTTTCTCGCTCATGCACTTATTTTGGAGTTGATCATAAAAACACCACCTTTCATGCACTTGTTCTGTTTTCTTGTAACAGTTGATCAACTTTGCATTCTTTGCACGCACTGACTGCCAATGTGATTTTGGTAAGCAGAAATGGGAGGGGCATCTTCCTCTACCAAAAATACAGAGTGGCGACCAAACAATGACCTTGCTGATACGGGAGAGGCTTCTTCCTCCACCGTGAAAAGGGAGTGGCAACAGAACAATGACCTCACTGATATGGGAGGGGCTTCTTCCACAGTAAATATGGAGTGTTTACTAAACAAGGACCTCACTGGTATTGGAGGGGCTTCTTCCTCCACCGTAAAGAGGGAGTGGAAACCGAACAATGACCTCACTGATATGGGAGGGGCTTCTTCCTCTACAACAAAAAGGGATTGGCAACCAAACCATGGCCTCACTGATATGGGAGGGGCTTCTTCCACGGTAAATATGGAGTGTCAGCCAAAGAATGACCTCACTGCTATAGAACTACATGATATAGTCCTCTCGTGGTCGATTCATGACATTTTTAATGACAATCTCTACAAAGATCAGGTTATCATCATATTTCTAAGTTATCATCTTTGGATTTCTATATGTTCCTTCATCTTCATTTTTTTTCCTTTCACTCTTTCCTCCTGCCAGGTTCAGAAGATTCCTGACGCATTCCATTCAAGGGACCATTATCTATCCAGTTACGCATTTCCTTTATTGGAAGAAACCCGGGCAACTGTTGCTTCTTCCATGGAAGCAATAGACAAAGCGCCATTTGCTGAAGTGGCCTCGTTTGAACTGGTTAATGGACCTGGGAAGGTTATTCATTATAAAGTCAAGGTTGACTTTTGGAAGACAAGAGTGAGTGATGAAGGAGAGGAGTACAGAACAATGCCCGGTGACTTGGTAATAATTTCAAATACTAAACTTGAGTGGGTTTCGGATTTGAACAGGGTCGGGTTGGATTGGATTCTAGCTTCAGTTGTTGATGTCACAGATGATGATGGATATTTATCCACAAATTTTAAAGTGAAAATGGCCAAGGATTTTGACACCAGAATTGGACGCCATACAGCAGTCCATATTGTTTTCTTGGTAAACTTCAAATCAAATAAAATGATTTGGAATGCTTTCAGAATGAACCTGACTTCTACAAAATCCGAGTCAATACAGCAGACCAAGAACATCAACATTCTTGATGCCATTTTGAACAAAAAATATGAGGTTAGTAATATTGTTTGTTTAGTGGTCTTTTAACTGCCTTTGAGTTTTACTTCAACACAGGCAGACAGGCTGTGTTAAACTTTTAAAAGTCCTTGCCCTAATTAAAAATTCTGCCTTCTGTTGTCAAAATTATGAACAATTCTGTTGTAGAATTACATATTAGTTAAATATAAGCATGTGTTCATATTCTTTCAAAATAAAACATTGAAAGATTTAGAAGAAAAAAAAAAGCTTTTTCACTAGTATGTGGACTATATTTGTCAAAATGCATGTCTTCTACATTATGAGGCCCAGTTCCACAGCACTCTTTCCATGCCCTATTAGACTACCTTGAATTCAATAATGATCATATTCCCAAATTATCTCTTATCGAAAATTTTCTATTTTATGTATGATACTGATTATTAACCTTTCTTCATCACATTGTGAAGTCTGATAAAAAGTGTTATACCTGCTGTCCTCATGGTGGCAACGGGTCAGCATCAACTGAGAAGATAAAGGATGGCTTCCTGTCCAGGCTGAATGAGTCACAAGCTAATGCAGTAGCTACTTGCCTGGAAAGGGTGAATTGTGATCATATGTCTCACGTTGGTCTTATATGGGGCCCTCCCGGAACTGGGAAGACAACTACTATTAGTGTACTTTTGTTTTTGCTCTTGAAAAAAAGGTGCAGAACACTACTTTGTGCACCTACAAATGTGGCTATAACACAAGTTGCCTCCAGGGTTATAAAGCTGATAAAGAAGTCTTACATAGATGAATCTTCAAAGCAGAACCTGTTTCCATTGGGTGATGTGCTGCTATTTGGAGACAACCCTCGAATGAAGGTGGGCGAAGACACTGAGGAGATGTATCTAAACAATCGAATCGACAGGCTTCTTGAGTGTTTCGAGCCTTTGACAGGTTGGAGACACTGCATTGAATCTGCAATATGTTTTCTTCAGGGCTCTCTTCCAGAGTATGAAAGGATGGACAGTGCAAAACCGGTATCCTTTGCTGCTTTTAAATCGCAGTTTGAGCAAGTTGTTTCACATCTCAGAAGATGCATGTCAATAATGTGTACTCATATGCCAACACAATTCATACAAGAACACAATTTCCAGAGTATCACTTCTCTTATGTGCCACCTGGATGCTCTCGCAGAAACTTTATTCGTGAAGAGTGTGATGTCTGAAGAGCTGAAGGAGATTTTTTATGAACAAGAGAATTCTGAAGTTTTATCCGAGTCATTTGTAGATAGGTCTTCCTTGTTTTGCTTGAAAAACCAGTGCCTCTCCCTTCTGAAAACCCTTCTGCATTCTCTAAGACAACTTCATCTTCCCAGTTCATTAAGTAGAACAGAAATGGCCGAATTCTGTTTAGAGCTACCATCCTTAGTTTTCTGCACTTCATCAAGCTCCTTCAAGATGGACCGAGTCAAGATGAGACCATTCAACTTATTGGTCATTGATGAAGCTTCTCAGTTGAGGGAATGCGAATCTATTCTACTACTTCAACTCCCAGGGCTAAAGCATGCAATTCTCGTGGGTGATGAATGCCAATTACCTGCTATTGTTCATAGCAAAGTGTGTATTCCGTTCTTCTAAGTCTTAGTAATGTTGTAGTGTCTACCATATACTAACCGGATACCTTCTTCCATCTAAAAAACTATGTATAGGTGTCCGATGAAGCTGGTTTTGGAAAAAGCTTATTTGAAAGGCTAAGTTCCTTGGGTCATTCAAAGCTCATGCTTGATGTTCAGTACAGAATGCATCCTGCAGTAAGCTGCTTCCCAAATTTTAGCTTCTATAATAAGCAAATCAAGGATGCATCTAATGTGAGAAGCACAAGCTATGAGAGACAATATCTTCAAGGAAGGATGTTTGGTCCATATTCTTTTATAAATGTCCCCAGTGGAAAAGAAGAATTGGAAGATTTTGGGCATAGCAGAAGGAATATGGTTGAGGTGGCAATAGTAGTCAAGATAGTGCAGAAATTGTTCAAATGTGAGTCTGGAGCTTGCTTTTGATTGCTCATTTGATTCTTCAGTGTGTTGATATACTTGTATTCTGGTGCTCTAACAAACTGATTAATTACATTCTCTTCTTTCCCACTCGTAATTGCATACTATCCGATTATGAAATTAGGAGACTCGATTCGGTTTAGATTGCTTTCAGGTCATACTTTTACCTTCAACAAAGTGAACCAGATGGAATTAAATGGTTTCACATTCTGTTTTGTATCCATTTTACTGGCTTATAATGTTAAGCACGCTTGAGATGTCATAATTTGTGTAGTTCTCATGTAATGCTCTTACAATTCTTTTTAACAACATTTTTATGCAGTTTGGCGTTCTTCTGGAAGGAAGATCAGAATCGGTGTAGTATCTCATTATGCTGCTCAAGTCGCTGCGATAAAAGATTATATTGGCAGAAAGTATGACAACCATACCGGCTTTGCAATTAAGGTGAGGACAGTCAACGGTTTCCAAGGAGGCCAAGAAGACATAATAATATTATCAACTGTGAGATCTAATTGTGCTGGCACGATCGGTTTTCTGTCGAATGCGCACATAACTAATGTTGCTCTGACCAGAGCCCGGTAGGTGCAATCTTCTTAACTTCTCATCTTCTCACATGTATGAGTGGTTGTACCGGAAGTGTTTTTTTACCATTTCTACTGTTTAATTTCATCAAGGCACTCTTTATGGATTTTGGGAAATGAAAGGACGCTTGTTCATAGCAATTCACTTTGGGAAGGATTAGTGCTGGATGCAAAAGAACGCCAGTGTTTCTTCTCTGCAGCCGAAGATAGTGATCTGTCAAAAACCATTTTGGATGTCAAGGCAGAACTGGATCAACTTGATGACTTGCTTAATGCGGATAGCATCCTATTCACAAATCAAAGGTGGAAGGTAAGATTATTTGCTTACTTCATCCTACTTCTATCCGGCTTACAAAATTCTTAGCTTTTAAATCTTCTACCTCGGTTTTAAATTAAGTGTAGGAATATGCACATTGATTAATCCTTTCATGAATACACCTCCTTTGATTGATACACCCTTCCTATATACATTGTTTACTGTTCTACCTAAACTATCTTTGGTTATTACAATCCATTCAACTTTAAATAGCTATTTTTAAACAATTTAACCCAAGAACATATATTTTTTAATTTACATTCTTCTTACATATTTCACCCACTATGTTATGTCAAAGTGTCAAACATTGATTTTTCTTACCCTTCTAGATTAAGCATGAACTGTGTGTCCTAAGGTTGCTGTTAGTAATATGAATACCACTTTGGAGATCAGTTTTTTTTCTCTTTCCGGTTTTGTAAGGTTTTGTTGAGCGAGAATTTCAAAAGATCATACAAAAAATTGGTGTCATCCTATTTGAAGAAGGCTGTGCTAACGCTTTTACTTAAGCTTGCTGGGGGATGGAGACCCAAGAGAAAATGTGTGGACTTGGCATGTGGCAACTCACCTATGGTTGTGAAACGGTTCAATGTTGAAGGACTATTTATACTCTGCACAGTTGACATTCAGAAGGTGGTGAAATACACCCAAGTTCTAAAGGCGTGGGATTTGATACCTATTCATGAGGTTGAAAAAATATCGAACCGCCTTGATAGCATATTCTCTATGTTTACCGTTGAATTTATCAATTTGTGCAAGCAGAAATGCCTAGACGGGTATGTCAATTCCTGCATATCCCATTATTGAGGATGTAGTGTTTACACCAAGGTCGTCAAAGAAAGATAGTTTGTCTAGTTAAATTGCTTTTATTTATTTCCCAGGGACTTGGAAGTTCCAAAAGTCTGGCCAGCTTCTCTTATCCTGAAAAGGTTCAAGAATCACAGCGAGAGACTCGATAATGAGTCAAAATGCTGTGTTGTTGAAAATTCAAGAGTGAGTGAAAGCTTACTCTTGATGAAGTTTTACTCCTTATCATCTGGCATTGTCAATCATTTGCTCTCTGGTAACCTTTGTGAAGAAATTGATATCCCTTTTGAAGTTTCTGATGAGGAAAGGGAAATAATCCAATTTGGAAGGAGTAGTTTCATACTAGGGCGATCTGGCACAGGAAAAACTACTGTGCTGACCATGAAATTATTTCAAAAGGAGCAATGACATCATCTTGCCGTAGAGGGAGTTATGAAAGAGGAGTCAAATGAGATCAATGTGATCAGCAAATATGGAGGAGAGAGTAGTTTTTCAAAGGCTGAGATTACAGCATTGAGTCAAACAAATGACAAGGAGAAGATGACTACTACCTTAAGGCAGCTGTTTGTGACAGTTAGTCCGAAGCTGTGCAATGCAGTCAAACAACAAGTTTCTCATCTGAAACGGTGAGCCTGAATAATCTGATTTAGTTTCTATTAGATCATATGATCTGTTTACATCATATTGTTTGTCAACAACTCAACTCAGTGTCATGCATTGGATACATTAATGAAGTCAAAAGGCGTGATTGAATTGCTAGGTCTTGTGATTGGTTAAACGGTATTCACTTACCTAAAACAAGTAATATAAACCATTCAATTCTCCTATATTACACTTTTAGTAGATTACCTTATAGTAGAAGTTGATACGTTAAATATGCACTTTTGTGGGAAAAGAGAAGAGTTACTTTACCTGCATAGGGAGTATATTAGTATATAATTAAAATGCGCATCTACAAGACAACTCTTTTGGGACAAAGAAAGTAAAGGATTATGAGCACATGAAGTACATTAACAACCATCAAGTATGATAACATCATTTGCCTTATATAGGGAGACATGTTATGGTCAAAGATGTTCCTTTGTAACTAAGCCTTTTTCTTCCCTGCAGCTTTGCTCAAGGGGAGAAATTCTCTGGTGACAACGGGTTATTGGATATGATGGACGATTTGGATGGATTATTTCATTTAAAAGACATTCCAAATTCTTTTGTTGGCATTCCAAAAACAAAATATCCACTGGTACTTACATTTCGCAAGTTCTTGATGATGCTTGATGGCACACTGGGGTCTTCATACTTTGACCGCCTCCAATGCAAACACTCATTTTCTCAGGATACTATGTCAAGGTCAGTCACAATAGAAGCTTTCATCAGAACAAGAGAGGTAAACTTTGACCGCTTTCGTACCTTGTATTGGCCTCATTTCAACACCCAATGGACGAAGAATCTTGATGCTGCAAAAGTGTACACTGAAATCTTTTCACATATAAAAGGAGGATTAAGAGTGGGTAAGGCCCATGATGCAAAACTCAGTCGTGACAAATATATTTCATTGTCTGACAGTAGGGTGTCAACTTTGGATGAGAACAGAAGAGAGCAAATTTATGACATCTTTCTTGATTATGAGAAAATGAAGAGGAAGCGAGGTGATTTTGACTTTGCTGATTTAGTGAATGATCTTCATTTTCGGTTGAATGAAGAAAAATGGGAAGGTGACAAAATGGATTTTGTGTATATTGATGAAGTTCAAGACCTCACCATGAGGCAAATATTACTATTCAAGTATGTGTGTGAAAATGTTGATGAGGGCTTTGTATTTTCTGGTGATACGGCCCAAACAATTGCTAGGGGGATTGATTTTAGGTTTGAAGATATCCGAACTTTGTTCTATGAGGAGTTTGTCATGAAAAAGAAACTCGGTTCAGATGCCAGAAGAAAAGATAAAGGCCATCTTGCCAAAGTGTTCTGTTTACTGCATAATTTTAGAACACATGCTGGTGTTCTCAGGCTTGCCCAGAGTGTGGTTGATATTATTTCTCACTATTTCCCTCTATCAATTGATACTTTGCCACCAGAGACTAGTCTTATAGATGGTGAGGCTCCTATGTTACTTGGGCATGGGAGCAATGAAAATGCTATTGTAAGTATCTTTGGTAAGAGTGGCAACATTAGCAGGAAAATGGTAGGCTTTGGTGCTGACCAAGTGATATTAGTACGTGATGACTCTGCTAAAAAAGAAGTTTCAAATCTCATTGGAAAACAAGCGCTTATTCTAACTATTGTTGAATGCAAAGGATTAGAGTTCCAGGCAAGTGTGATAAACTGATTTTTTTTTGTGAGATATTTTAAAGATATTTTACAATGCTATGTCCTGCCGTGATTGTCTGAGACTCTGAGCATATCTTTTTTTGCAGGATGTACTGCTTTATGACTTCTTTGGTTCTTCACCACTTAGAAACCAGTGGAGAATAGTTTACGAATTTATGATTTCAAAACGACCAGAACTGGTTGAAACAAGACTTTTGAGCTTCCCTCGCTTTTCTGAAACAAAGCACACTATTTTGTGCTCTGAATTGAAGCAATTATATGTGACTATAACTCGGACACGCCAAAGATTATGGATCTGCGAAAGCGTTGAGGAGTTTTCAAAACCAATGTTTGACTATTGGATTACAATGGGCCTTGTGGAAGCACGGGATGTTGATGAATCCCTTGCACAAGCTATGCGCATGGCTAGCACTCCAGACCAGTGGAAATCAAGGGGATTAAAAGTTAGTTGATCTTTCTTTATTTCTTGTCTAGCTAATCTACCATGGCTGATGTCAAATGACAGGATTCTAACCTTAGGGAAGTTATGTTATTTTGCAGCTCCTTCGGGAGAAAAACTATGAAATGGCGATTATGTGTTTTCAAAGGGCAGGAGAAAGAGACCTTGAGAAGCAGGCTAAAGCTTCACGTCTAAGGGAAGCTGCTGATCGCAAACGGGATTCAAATCCAACAGTGTCTTCTACCTATTTGAGGGAGGCTGCTGAAATATTTGAGTCAATTCGAAATTTCAAGTCTGCAGGTCAATGTTTTTTTGACTTAAAAGAGTATGTGCTTGCAGGTATTGAAGTTTACTATTGTTGCATATTTTGTATGCTTATTCTCTCAAAGTTCATAAGATCACCATTAATCTACTACAAGAAATGCATGAAACGTTGTATGCTAATTCTATCAAAGTTTATTATAAGGTCACCATTAATCTACTACAAGAAATACATGAAACATAAAGCACTCTGAAGCTATGTTTTTCAGTTTTCTATCAACATTGATGCCTAAAATATATAATATGAATTGTAGTGGTCAATGTTAATTTTTATCTAATGCTACAGGGAATAATTATTTGAAGTGTGGAGAACAGAAAACAGCTGCGGAGCTTTTTACATTGGCAGGAAATTATAAGGATGCAGCAGACATATATGCAAAGCAAAACTGTTTCACGAATTGTCTATCAGTTTGCAGGAAGGGACGTCTGTATGACCATGGATTACAATATATAGAACAATGGGAAAAGCATGCTTTCAAGTATAATGGTATGGATATAACATGGGATGAAATAGACAGAATAGCACAGGAATTTCTTGCTATGTCTGCATCTAGCTACTTGAAGTGTGATGATAAGAAATCAATGATGAAGTTTGTTAGAGCTTTTAAGTCGATGGATGATAAGCGTGAGTTCCTGAGGAGTATACAGTGTCTAGATGAGTTGTTACTGTTAGAAGAAGAATCTGGACACTTTGCTGAAGCTGCAGAACTAGCGAATCTGAGAGGAGATGTCTTACTAGAAGCAGAACTTCTTGGCAAAGCTGGGAATTTCAGCAAAGCATCTTCACACATCCTTTGGTATGTGTTGGCAAACTCTTTGTGGGTTTGTGGATGCGAGCCATGGCCCCTGAAGTCCTTTACGTCTAAGAAGGAACTCTTGAAGAAGGCCATTTCTCTTGCAAGGAACGAATCTGATCTTTTCTATGAATCTGTTTGCACTGAGGCAAAAGTGTTAGAGCACGAGCAATGCAAATTATCAGAGTTGAGGTGTGCTTTAAGTGATTCTCAGAAGTGCGCGAATCTTCGATGTGAAATTTTATGCCTCAGAAAGATCATTGATGCTCACTGTGAAGTTAAAGCCTCAAAGTATACATGGGAAGATGACTATCCTGTTGACCTGAAGTTTACAGATGATACCATGTTTGCTAACCAACTCTCCATCGGATCCCTCTGTCATTTCTGGAATCTATGGAAGAAAAATGTATTAAAGGTTCTTGAGTCTCTTAACTGTCTTGAGGTGACTCAAGATTTTGGTAAATATAAAGGTTTTGGAGAGTTCTGCTTGAACTACTTTGGTGTGAGGCGACGGTTCACTGATATGAAAGCCAGCAGTCTCCAGTTGTTAAAACCAGATGCTGAATGGGTCATAAAAAGGTTTTATCAGAATTACTTGAGGCAGAGCAAAAACTTGGTCTCAATAGATGAACAGCATTTCATAACTGCTGCACGGAATTATTGGCAAAATGAAATGATATATGTAGGCGTTAAGGTTCTGGAGATTTTTGAATCACTGTATATCTTTTCCGTGGAGTCGTCGTCTGATTTTAGTCAAAGCATGTGCCTCATAAGTATATATCAGATCTCAAAGTTTCTTCTTGAGTCAAAGGAGTTGAACTGCAAGAATTATGAGAGGAAACTACAAAAGTTCTTCCAGCTCTCAATGAAGTACTTTGAAAAGGTGTTTCCTATTCATTTTCAGAAATCTATGGACAAACACATGATTTCTCTAAGGGGGACAGATGTTTCCCGATGCTTACTCGAAGATTTTATTAGACATGACCTTATAAGTAGAAAAGGTGAGGATACTACACTTGGGCAAATCGGGCGGATGATGATGATATGGTTTGGGTCTGCCAAACCTGCAGATGAACTGTTGAATAAAATTTTGTATAGAATCAGGAAGGATTCAGCATGGAGAACTTTCATTGAGATTTTAATGCAGAGTGACGAGGTTCCCTTAAATGGGTCAGTGTCAGTCGATTCTTTAGAGACTTTACCTGTTGGTCAGATTGAAGAAGAATTCAAGTTGGTATACGGGTTTTTTGAAGCATTGAGAGAAACATATGGAGCAGATTGGCAGAATATGTTTGACTACATTTCGCCTCACTGTTTCTTGTATCTTGTAGAGCATCTTTTATTCCTGGTATTTAGCTCTAGCAGTGGCTTCTTCTACGCCACAAAATCCTCTTTTCTGGAGTGCTTGATGTTTCAGAAACCAGGTGCACGTGTGATTCCCAGCTTCCTAACTCAATTATCACGCAGTGAAATATATATGTTTTACGAGTTCATCCTCACCATTGTGGAAGAACTCCTCTTCAAGAGGCCTGAGACAATAAGGTGGATTGAGAAATATAAAATTAAATCCATCAATGACTATCATAAGTTACTGGTTTTGAGATTGGTAGTCATTCTCTGCTCACTTTGTATGAACTCTACTACTGAGGAATCTTTGTATGTTCTTGATTGTGTACTCAATACACATGACATTTCATCTGAGCTGCCAAGAGAATTCTCTCAAGTTTTCAGGCAAACTTGTTCTAACAGAGACAAAGTCACTGAAGCTCTCCTGACTATAGGGAATCCAGCAATTCTTGTGTTCCTGGACGAAACTAGTCCAAAAATTATGTGTCCTCTGGATGTTATTCCCATACGATTGGGTGCGGGTTCTAGTAGGGAGAGCATCGCGAAAATGTTGTTGCAAAGTAACAATGTTGCTTCTACCAGGCAAGAAGATGAAGTCATAAAGGAGAACACATGTTCATTGACTCCCCTGATGGGTAGTGCAGTAGACAATGGAATGAAGAGTTCTGTGATGGAATCTTCATCAGTCAACAAAAAGTCCATGCTCAAGGGTGAAGATAGCTGCTCGTTGCGAATGAAATGGCGCGTTTTGGAAGAATTGTCTGCATCCCTAAAACTACAGGTAAATAAGATATGGAATATTTTATGGAATCCACCCTTTCTTTTCTGTTGTACCATTCTATATGCAATGCTGAGTTCAGGTTTTTTGTTTCATTTTTTGGTTTAAAGGAGGATTTAGATGAGTGTATAAAGTTCACAGCTGCAGTGGCTAATTATGTGTCGGGAAAGGAAGGTGCTCCATCTGGGGAAGGTGAAAATATTTGTGAGGAAGTGGAAACCATGCTTCAAGAACTTAAAGAATTGTCTGATAAGTTGGATATGAGGTCAGTTCATGTACACATACACTAATAGAGGATTAAAACAACTGACAAAAAGTACTCATCTGCATAACTCAAGCACTAAATAACTAGCAATTTGCTAATTCTCTTTATATTCATGCTATTATGTGGTTCAGTGATTATTGACCTAAAAAGCACCGCAATATTCAGCCTATAATGCCCAATCTTATCTGAAATACATCGCAGTGAAACTGATGATATGTTGATCTGATACACCGTAAGCACTAAACAGATAGTTTTCATGTGTTTATTTTACAGTAACATGGAAGATGAGGAAAGGCACGAAAGCATTGTGGAACTGCAGAAGAGGTTGCTGAGTAGGAGGCCTAGAGTGGAAGGATTGTTTAGCAGAATCATTGTGAGGAATGACAGTGGGGCTATTATTTTTGTGGATTCACAAGGCCATATACCTGCAAACCACAAGTCAACTGAAATTGAAGAAGGTGAGAAGAACAATTGGGGTAATAACATGAGTACGACTGAGGCGTCTGAGAGCAGGATGATTAATCAGTGTAAGGAGAAGCCGCAGCAGCAAAGGAAGACGAAGAACAAATCCAAGAGGGGGAAAGGAAAACGAGGCCGCGGAAAATAGACGTTCTAAGAGTGTAAACAAAAAATTCTATCCTGTGTATACATAAATTCCTATTTTGGATCTCTGCGTGGGTTCCATTACTTCCATACCGGCATTTCTGCAAAGCTTCAGATAAATACACCGACCCTATCAATTAGAGTATTAGCATGTCTGCTTATTGCAATTGAGGAAGGCAAAACACCAAGAGCAAAATCACGCATCTCAAACCCTCTTCCTATCCTTCCTGCCCAGGATTCATTGAAGAGTGAACTATCAAAAACGATTGAACAATAGTTTAGATGGGGGTTAAGAATTATAAAGACATAACTACGGATTAAATATGTCCACGAGACCACGATCCTTCAAAAAATGTGCACACTATAAAATTGAAGATACAACACTTGGGAAACATAAGAAGTTTTTAATTAGATAATTAATTAAATTGGGTATTCAAATAATTAATTAGTTCTGCAAAATAACCCAATATGATACGATCATACGACAGGTTCAATTCATACTTAAAATTAGTAGAATCATTTATATAAAAAGGGGAAAACTGTTAAATAGGTCCTCAAACTTTCATAAAAAGGTCAATTAAGTCCTTCTATGAGAGGTTCTGTCCGGCCGCCGCGATTTGGGGAAGTTCCCGGTGGAATTTTTTGATGAAATTTTTTGAGCATCTTATTCACCAAGTCTAGTTTACTCATACGAAATTTCAGCTAAAAATTCAATCGAGAACACATTCAAATTAATGCTTGAAAATAACTACGCATTTTTGCGTTCTCGAATTAATTTGAATATGCTCCTGATTAAATTTTTAGCTAAAATTTGGTATGAGTAAATTAGGCTTGATGAATAAGATTCTCAAAAAAATCATCAAAAAATTCCACCGGGAACTGGTCCAAATCGCGACGACCGGACAAAGTCTCTTATAGAAGGATTTAATTGACTTTTTAATGAAAGTTCGAGGACCTATTTGACAGTTTTCCCTATAAAAAATTAACTAATGAAACTAGTTCAGTTCATATATAAGAATCAATAACCCATATGATACGAGAGGTTCAATTCATACTTACAATTAGTAGAATTGACTAAATGGCTTAATTCTTGTTATTATCATTTCTAAAAATATTCTTTTTCTATCTAAGATTTAAAAATTTGAAAATTCAAAACACATGTATTAAAATTTTTATTTTATTTTTTTTAATAACATTTTCTTAACTGTTCCACACACATATTTTTTATTTATGAGAATTGGAAATTGAACCGCTAACGGTAATTAGGAATGAACCGCTAACAACTAATACCTTATGGGAGGTCCCAGGTTATCCCATCCTCCCAACCCCTCCACCCCCCTCCTCACCCCCGACCCCCTCCCAGGGTAAAAAAAAAAACTAATACGTAGTACCTCACTTTTTGGAACCCAAGCCGATTATAACAGTTGGGTTCCGGTTTCAAAATCTCCCCCTAGCTATTACTCGTATATTTGGAGAATTTGTGCTTTCTCTACACTGCTCAAACCTTCGAAAGTCTCACTCCATCAGCTTCCATAAGTGGCTCTTGATTAGCAACAAGCAATATGATGGCATGGTGGAGGAACATACCATTTTGTGATCTACAAATGTTGCAAAGATTTTTATGCCTAGTTCCACCTGTCTCTCATAAGCCAAGCATACACCATAGTTGCTAGTCTGCTGCTTAATACTAGTACATTTAAGAGTAGGGTGTAAACTAACACAGAGAAAGGGAGGGTAATGTGAGGGAGAAACTCTTGAATGCGAGGTGATATAAGTAATCATAGTTCAAAACATAAACCTTTCAACATACATAACACCCAATACATATGCATACATCTAATAAGTACAGTGCAATTCTTAACTATATCCCACAACGTGAAAAATAACTAAACAGTGGCTATACAAGACCGGGGCCAGCATCTGGTAATGCGGCCATTTGTAATGTTCTCCCATTACCAGCAGCAAGGAAGCGCACAGAAGAAGGCAATGAATTGTCAGTGATGGTCTCAACCTCAAGACAGTCGAAATCTATCGCACCAGATTTCTTCAAACTGAAAGCAAACACAACTATTATCCACCCCAGCATTGTAATTGCCCAATAATTGTTCATGCCATGAATCAACCCCCAGGCAATTGAATAACCAACAATGATTCCAGATAAGTGGCCGAGAAAACTTGCTTGAGGAACAATGATGGAGGTTAAGATGAGCGACTCAAATGGTGCAAAACTTATGGGAAGCGAAAGAAACCCAAAAAGATCCAATTTTGATGAAGGTTGCTTAACAGACAGAATAGTCATCCACCCAAAAACCACACACGAATATCCCACAGCAGTCACTCTTCGAAAATATTCAAACTTAAACCTCTGAATGAGAACATGATACATCCCCAAGACTAGTATACCAGACAGAATGACCAAAACCAGAGTATAATGCAGGTAATACTCCACTCCAAGACCTAAATTCCCTAACTTCTCAACAACTCCTAAGCTCCAAAGAGCACTCATGTTGAAAACAAGATGAAGCACACTAATGTGTGAAAATGCAGATGTTATTATCCTCCAGTGATGGCCTTCCAGAGCAGTCTCGTAACTCAACCCCACATGAGAATACCCAATGTTTTTCTTCTGTATATACAGCCAGATTGCACTGCATATAGCTATAATACAACTTGTAGCTGGCTTCTCAATTATCTCATAAAACAGTGGTTTCCCCATTTCAAAAGGAACCCTAATCCCACTTCAATCTCAAACACTCAGACCAATCACTTATCTCTGATGTATATACGTTTCCCCAATATTCTATTACAGGAAAGACAATAGATCAATCTGAATTGAAATATGAACAAGAGAAATGAATAGAAATCCCGCTACTAGAGGAACCACAAATCAGGTAGTCTGAAGAATGTAGGCTCTTATATCCAACCATATACCCAAATCAAATGCACACTTCTATGAGGAAATTCATGAGCACCATACCTCTCACCGAACAAATCTGACAAAAACCCCAGCCCTATAGCATGAAACTGAGAATTGAGTCGGTGAAAAGTGATCAAGCGACCCTGAGTGGATGTGTGGATGTTATGAACCTGCTGGTTTCTGTGAAACTAACAGATTTGACTGCGGCAGCTTAGATTTGCAAGAGCGGGATGGATTGAAAACTTACTCACGTCGGCCCAGAGGTGAATGGATTGAAGAAGTCTCCTTCGGCTCATCTCCGGGCGCCTTCAAATGGACGCACCCCTTTTGTTTCAAGATCGGACAAATATGTCCTCTTACGTGCGCTTTCTAGGATGTTTTTTTTTTATTGTTTTTAGTCCCACACCAAACCAGATCAGACTTAATCAGACCAGATCAGACTTAATCAGACCAGATCAAACTTAAACAGACCAGACCAGACCTCCGTAGTTATAAAATACACAGAGACCAGACCAGACCAGACCAGACTTAAACAGACCAGACCAGTAAATTTCAGTCCAAAAGAAAACATCCTTAGTTTGATTTTTTAATAGATTATTAAAAAAGTGATTTATAGTATAAGTATATGGTATTGGGAAAATGGAAACTAATAATCCAACCTTTTAGCGGTCTTCTTTTAACAGTCCCACCTTTTCGTTATTCATGAATAATCCAACCTTTGCACCTCATCTTCATTCACTGGTCCCTGACCGGTTGATGACCTGCTATTCCAAGTTATTTTCTTATCTTTGCAAAATATTATCTTTGTGAAAGGTGGAATTTATGGTATAATAGTTTGCAGAGATAAGAAAATAACTCAGAATAGCAGGTCATCAACCGGTCGGGGACCAATGAATGAAGATGAGATGCAAAAGTTGGATTATTCATGAATAACGAAAAGGTCGGACTATTAAAAGAAGACCACTAAAAGGTTGGATTATTAGTTTCCATTTTCCCTATGTTATTTGTGAGTAGGAGTGATTTTAATTAGGAAAAATTTACAAGAATAATCTCAAATTTCACTGGTCTTCTCATAATAATCTCACCTTTAAATCACCACACATTTGTTTCTCATATTCTTTCATTGGACCCAGACCTATTGATGACCTACAAAGGTGCGAACATGTGCAAATAGGCCCATGTACTAACAAAAAAAGGTCAAATAAGCCCTTATTTAAGAGACTCTGTCCGGACGTCACCATTGTGGTTCCCGATGGAATTTTTTGATGAATTTTTTTGAGCATCTTATTTATGAAGTTTAGTTTACGCATATCAAATTTCAGCTAAAATTTCAATCGGGAAGGCATTCAAATGAATTCTTGAAGATAACTGCGCTTTTAACTGCACAGTTATCTTGAAGAATTCATTTGAATGTCTTCCTGATTGAAGTTTTAGCTGAAATTTGGTATGCGTAAACTAGACTTCATAAATAAGATGCTCAAAAATTTTCATCAAAAAATTCCACCGGGAACCATCCCAAATGGTGACGTCTGGACAGAGCCTCCTAAATAATGGCTTATTTGACCTTTTTTGGTTAGTACATGGGCCTATTTACACCTTTTCCCTTGTTTATATAAGATTTTCAAAGAAAGGGTCCAATGAAAGAAGATGAGGTGCAAATGTGGGATTATTCTGGGATTAAGTAAAAATGAGATTATTATGAGAAAACCAGTTTAAGGTGAGATTAAAAGGTAAAAGTTTAAGTATTTGATTAAAAAAATGATTTGTGATATAATATTTTGATAAATTACAAAATCACCCTTACGACTTTACTGTAAATTTACAACAAAATATCCACCTTTTGTCAATTCTCCTCCATTGAATCCTCGTATGTGCAAATCTGGTTATATCCTACGATGGTTTGACTAGTTTGAAAACTAGATGTGGAAGGATGATTTCTCTAGCGCGGTGAGGGTGCAGTGCCAAATAAAATGGCTTGTCCATCTTGACAGTGTGGAGCTTCACCACCATGTCTACCTTCTTTTACTGAAGTATTTTATTGCAACTTCACTACTTCAGTGCAAAAGAGCTTCACCGCAATATAATGTCTACATCACTTGCCTTATACTTTGTGTACGTGTGTGTGGATCAACATATATGTATGTATTACAGTGGTTAGTGACGTTCTGGGTAATTGCAATAACCATTAGGAAACCAAGTGATATAATAAAAACTAAAACTTATGAAATCAAATGCATAGAAAAACTAAAATATAAATCAAATCTATACAAAAACTAAAATATAAGATCGAGAATTGGCTTCATCAAACTTCAGAAGATCGACGGGATGCTTGAGGAGATCGATAGAGACAACAGAGAAGATCGAAAGGGGTAAGTTCAGACATGAATTGAAAACGAGCCATAAGATATTAAGATTATTCCCCAAACTTCAACCTATT